TTTTTTTTTATGAAAATTACTTTATGTCTAATCAGTTAACAAATGTTAAATGACCTTCTTTGTTCATTTGAATGTGAAATGACCCAGATGCTGCTTTCAAATCATTAATTACCGCAAGCTTTTTAAACAAAAAGTTTTACATTGTATGAGACGAACTCTCAAATTTTGGCTAAATACACTTCTTTTATACATTCATAAAATTCAAATTATATAAATCTGCTTGATTTGAAAACAATACCAACTTTTATAATCTGAATTGTAAATAAATTTAAAGTACTTAAATTTTTATGCTACAATACGTTTAAAATCTTCACTAGATATAAGATTACTTTACATTAATTGTTAATTCTATCTAATTAAATAACAATTTAATTTAAAAAATAAAATAAGAAGAATATTTAAAGTTATATATATATATTTGTTGTTATTGGTCAGTTATGTTTTACTTTGGTATGCTGTTTAATATCATATTCTCTCAATAAAAACACAATTACATATCTTGCAATAAAAATTGTATTTTTTCTCTTAGAAAAAAATATTATCAATAAAAGTTGACCATTTCAGAAAGTATGTATAACAATAAAGAAAAATGCAAAAAGAATCCAAGGTCAGAATTGGCGCATTTAATATTAAACAATTTGGTAAAAAAAAATTAGAAAATTATTCTGTAATAAAAATTATCGTCAATATTCTTAAGCGATATAATATTGTTCTTTGCCAAAAGGTTCATTTGGATAAAAAAATGACCGAAAAACTTGTTACCTTATTATTAAAATTTTTCTCTATTCCATATTCTTGTTTGTTGAGTTAACCTACTGGTAAAGAAAGATATCTTTACTTATACAATTCAAACAAATGGCAGGTACTAGAATTAATTAATATCAAAAAGTTTGATAAAAAATTTTTTAGAGTATCTTATGTCGCTCGATTTCAATATTTAAAAAATCCTCATATTAAAATTACTCTCATTAGATACTATACACATCCAGATAGTGCATACAAAGAAATAAAAGTATTAGTGAATGAAGTATATGTAGATATTAAAGCGAGATTAGAGAAAAGTGATAGTTTTTCTGTTTTATTATATTGTT